CAGTTTCCAGATCATAAAACGTTCTCGGCTGCATTTGCATTTTCGCGCGTCAACACCAGCGCAAAAAGGCTCCGCTGCAAAAAATGGCGAAAACAATGCGAACCCATATTTTTACAGTTTAATTACGCGGAAGCCGCCGTGCAGTGCGAAATGCAAAGCAGATCGAGCCACTCCATTCACGAGGCGTGAAATGATTTTTCCCGGCGAGCATGCAACACGTCCATTTTATATCTGTCGTAAATAACATCTGTTGAGCTCCAAAAGTGCACGCGGCTGATGCAGACTGTGGCAATTTTTTTTTGCACATTTGATGCACTTGCTTGTGTGCAGAATTGCGAGCGTATGTGCATGATGGAGTTTGCATCCCTGCTCTCTCTCTTTTTAACAATGAAAATAGCGAGCGAGGAGTCACTCACTCACTCCAGGGCATAATGCACGCCTGGGCTTAAAAGCGAGCGGGACAAGTCATTGTGCGGGTTCCGCGAAGCGCAACCTTTGCACCACCCTTCAACCCTGTATTTGTGCGTCGCGCTCGTAACTTCGCATTATAAAAAGGGAGCTTTTGCAATAAGATATGTGCAAGAAACACAAGGGCTGCCATCAAAATCAAGGCCAACTTTCAATGATGCGAACATTGTTGGCAACCGCAGATTTTGTAACTATGCAAAAACAAAGCTGAATGCAGTTTGCATAAAAATTGAAAATAGATTTTTGATAGAACCGACGTGTGTTTTATTTTTTGCTGTCAACACTTTCTAAATAAATTTAAAATTTAGCTTTTTATATAATTATACAGCATTATTCAAATTAGGAACAGAAAGAACGTGGTTGAAAGTTTTTTGATGAATTGGATAGTGAAATTTCCATTAATTGAGAAGCAAGAAAGATACCAGGTACCAATTAAAATTCAAAGGATGTTAAAAAAAAAATTGAAAAAATTTTGAAATAAAATTTTTTTCTAATAAAAAGATACGATTTAATCACCAACTTATTTTTTTCTTGACAGCAAATAATGAATATAGAGTTTTTAATATAAAATCATAAGAAATCGTTGTATATAATTATATTTATACAGATTTATTCAAATTACAAACACATATACATGCGTGCAAGTTTTTGTTTGCAAAGGATATTGCTAACTTTGAAATTTCATTTAATTAAAATGGAAGAAAGATACCATTTAATTTTAATTTCAAATTTATAGGATACTAAATAAAAATAGGAAAAAAGTTTGAAATAAAGATACCTGATTTTATCCTTCATTAAAATAATTTTGTTATTAAAAAAAAAAAACAAGTTTAAGAATATTTTCAAATTAATTCTTTTCACTAGACAACAAATAATATAATTTTTTATTTAAAATCATTTTCTTTTTAATTTATGCCCCTTAAACCTTTGTCAACATATTTTTATTTAAACTGTGATTTTTGGGTTTGACGTATTGTTTTTATTAGATTCATATCAAGGCCATTCATCATAATCTCTGCCTTTTTTGTCTTAAATGGCGGCTATCTTTTAGCTCCCTTGAGAGAGACAACATAGCGAAATGTGTCAGCGCTTTCTGTGCAGTGACACACGAGGAACAACACGGCCATCAGATATGTACTTAACGGGCAGCCGAGTGCATCCGTCCCCTAGCTTCGATTGTCACAAACACACACGCGAGCTGCACGCTGCATTGATCTCAAAGTTCCACGGTTGCATAATGTCTTGTGTACGATTCGAGGGCACGCGGCACCCTTTTTCTCGCAAATGCCATCGGACTAATACGGACGAGAAATCGTGCCACTCGAAATATCATATTTCTGGCTCGATTTCAACTTTGTCTTATTTGCTACAGGAAAAACGATGTTCTCGTGAGATGCACCACGTTGGAAAGTCTCATCTCTCCTGGTTTCCCGTCGCGCAACTTTGTTTGCCGCTTGTTTTATGCAGGTGACTAGTTCCCTCTCGAAAAGCAACTTTGCCGCAAAAAGGAAGTCTCTCTTTGGCATTTATATAAGGTCAGAGGAAGTGGCCATTATTGAGAAGTTCCACGTCGGTTGATACAATTATTAAAAATTCAATTACTCTCGCTTTGTGTGGCAGCAGAACTTGCGGAACGTGTAATCGTTCTGCTTTATTATTGGCAGACACATTCAGCACGTCGGTCTAGAAAGAGTGCGGAGAGCTGCAGCGTGGAAGTTTGGAACTGCCTTATACCTATTAGGTGCAGCGGTTTCCAAAGCAATTATTGTAATTCAGTGAAACGTGAGCAGAGTTTGCAAGTATCTAATAACGCTTCTAATGAAAAAGAACGTTGTAGTCGTTGCAGATTTATTTGACAAGGGATCGATTTTTTCATTAGAATTAGAATAAATTAGAAGCGTCTATCTAAAGATTTATCACATGCTATTTTGCATTTTATTTTATTCAAAATTTATAAAAAAAACTCAACTTCTTAAAAATCTTTGTTGGTATATTTAATTTCTCCTGCTTTCAAGTCAAAGCAAACAAAAATAGCTCAATGTTTGTCCAAGTTAGGTATTTTTAGATCAAAAATATTTATTTTAATACAAAAATATTAAATGAGAGAAATTGCATGTACTAGTAATAAATTTCAAAGTTGCTTGAAAATTTAACATGTTTCTAAAAAAGAAAAAAAATGCAGAATTAACAAATATTTTTCAATATGACTGGGAAAGGTGGTGCTCATTAAATTACGGGAATGAGAAAATTAAGGATTCCAAAGCGCTCTCACATATATTAAAAATTCTCCAGAAGCCTCAGGGGTGAATTTGCGAAAAATTCTCAGCACCACTCTCATAACAGGGAGCTGTTTTTCGGCAAATTCCAGGCCGGGCGCACATTATTAAATTTGCAAACGTCAATTTGCTGAGCTACAGTGATAGCCCGGAGACGCCGGCGACAGAGTGAGAGTGACGCAAATTCCAATTCTTCCGCCGCCGCTGCACTCGGAGCGAAATGTAATTAGATGGTCGCCGCCGCCAGCCGCCGGAGAGGCGAAAAGAATTTGGGTAATGCGGGAAAACACTTTTCCACCGCTCTGCTGTTGTTGGTCGACCCTCGCTTGCACGTAATTTTCCACTTTGCTTAGCAGACGACCAAACAGGCGGCCCCTTCTTAAGTAATGGAAAATTCACAAATGGCTCTGCAGCTCTCCGGCCGGCCGGCCGGGCGGGATGCATAAGCGGCCAGGAGCATTCTCGGCCCGCACCATTGTCACTCTCGCCAAAAGTGTCACTCCTGATCTATTTATACTGTCCGAGGGTATTAGCGAAAAAACGTGCTCCATGATGCGGGGGTGAAAAACAAGAGGTGAATATTTAATGGATTGTATGGATCGCATTAGAAAAAAGGAAATAATGAATTCAGCTTTCGACAAATAATAAAGTGTGACAGTTCATCATAGTTTGAACCTGGTTTGTAAAAAAAGGAAATTTTTTTTTGGAATTCATTCATAAATTCTCCCTTAAAATTTTAATATACATTTTACTTTTTAAAAAATTGCTTACGTCCGGACAGACAATTGTGAAAACTTACAAATTCATTTTGAAATTTTTAATAAGCTTATTTTTCTACTCTCAATAAATATAAAAATAAAAACATATGCTACATTTCAATGATTTTACCATGTAATTAATTCAAATAAAGTAGCTAAATAGTGTAATTCTTATAATTACTTTCTAATCAATGATATTAGTTTACTTTCTCTCTGAAGAAGAGTAAAAACTTTGTAAATTGACATTTAACAAACTGGAACGACCTTGCATCGAGACTTGTACAAAAGAACCACAGCAAATCCACGCCTAATCGACATCAAGCCCTTGGCCGAGCTAGAAAAAACCTCCTCTCGAGAGGGAGCATTGCCGAGGGAGAGAATTTTCGATTAAAAAGTTCAAGGCTCGGTGCCATGGACAGAAGTTTATTGCTATGCAAATGCGATTCGCGCAGGAGAAATCCAATAAAAGCGAGCGAATCCGCGATAGAGATTAGTCACGCGCGTAAATAACGCCGACTGCAAATTAAATTGCAAGAGACCGAGAGAGACACACACGCGAGATTTTGCGCGCAATTGTATTAATCGCTTCTCTCCCGCTTTAGTGACAACCGGAGAGACGATTCGTATCAAATCACGGTGGCTGCCGGCAGCAGTCAATCTAGATAATCCGGCGACACGACGCATATATATACGCAGGCTTGATACAAATTAAGTTTTGCGACTAATCCTAGCACGTGTCACACACCACGTCACGAGAGGGCAAAAAGGAAAAATCGGTGGCCCAAAACTGTCTGACAAGATAAATTGCAGGAGATGAGCCAGAGGAAAAAAAAGTTAATTGGGAAAACTGTCACGTTTGGGATTTGTTAGATTAAGTTGCAAACAAATAATGCTATATTAAAATTAAGTTATATATAAAAATGTCAGCAAGCTCAGAAATATTTGTGTAACATTTAAACATTTTTTAATAGGAAAGTGGAATTAATTTCTTCCTGTCACAAACTTAATTGCTGCGGCAGAATGTTTCCATTCAATAGATTCTTTGGTAAAATTCTCAATAAAGATGGTCTAATTTTTTTCCAGTAATGTAATTTTCCTTCCCAACCATTGCTATTTCTTTTCATTGTAAATGACTGAAGCAGTTAAGATAAAAAACATCAATTATAAAATTTGCTGTAAATATCTATATAAATTAATGCTACAAAAATTTTCTTCAAAATTTAATGAAATAATTCAATTTATAAATTATAATCAATTAATCTCGGATCTCGGAATCACTTTTTAATGCTGATTTATCAGGTATAGGAGTATCCAAAATTTCTGTAATCTACAGAAGAACAGATTTATAAAGCTGAACCATTTTGAATCGACAACTTGAGTGATTGAACTTTTACCCTTCCGTAGTTTATTGCTCTGTTGTTGGGAAAATAAATGAGCTGAAATCTCAGATACAGTTCTTGGGGGTGAATGACTAAGGCAGGGGTTGATCAGTGCTTACCTCGTAAAAGTAGAACTGGTTGATGTCGGAGTCGTTCCTGGCGAAAGTGTCGTTGGCCGTGTCGTTGGTCGCCCCCTCGAACACAGCGGTCGGCAAACTGGCGAGCAGCTCGCCCATTTCCTCGGTCGAGGTCATCTCTCTGGCTCTACTCTGGCGAAAGCAACATTCCTCTCCTGCGAATGGAAAAAACGGCGGGAGTCAACAAAATTTCTTTTTCTTCGGCCCGAGGGAAGAAAGCGAGAAAGGGCTGCATTGCTTTTCGGAGAGATTGGGGGTGCCGTCGGCGGCAATTTTTCTCTCCGCTTCGTTTCTCGCTTTCTAAATATATATTCCCTCTCTGAAAATACTACGACTACTATGTGTTGAAGGAAGAAAAATTCCGCTGTCCCATTCAGTCGGTCGGCGCATAAATCTCGGCTGATCGCATTCGCCGTCGACGGTATGCAAGAAGGCACTTAAGTGCATTGCGACCATAAAACGCGCGCGATTTGTGTTATTATTTGTTCTCTGTGCAGTTTCTACAAATGTCCCGAGAGAAATATTGGAATAATTTATGCATCGATGAATCCAGTGTCCTGAATGAGCAAAACAAGCCAGATTTTCCGTTGCAAAATATCAAGAGCAAAAAATTACAAATATAAAAAATATGCAGAATGTAAATAAACAAAAAAAATCTGGCAAGGAGAAAGAAGAGTAGGATTGGAATTGAATGCATATGCTTATTTACAGAAATGCTAGAGAATTATAGCTTCTGCCAATCTGATAGCTCAACACAGATGTATTGCAAAGATAGACTCGAAAAATATGGCAAAAGAAACTGCTCTGCTCAAAGTAAAATACAATGTTATGTTTCTTCTTGAGTTGAAAATCAGTCTCTTATTTGGGTCATTGACACCCCATATTAATAAAATTTAAATTGATTTCTTTTAACAGAGAAAATGGGGGAAAATTAAAATTATCACCCAAGATGTATAAATATCTTTAAAAAAGAAATAATTGATTATCTTGTTAAGGTAAATAATACATTTATAATATTTAATAAGATGACTTACGGATAATCAAATTAAATGCAATAATAAAATATATCATTTTGAATTTTGAATTGAATTTTTTCCCAATATTTTGTAAAAAGTCAATGTCTTGTGTAGAAAAATGCATTTAGAGAATGACGAAAATGACAGGTGGACCTTTTTGTAACAAATAGCTGAGCCGCCCGTATAATTACACGGAATAAATTCACTGTAATGGTGCAGCTGAAATCGGTAAATCACGCATTCCCATCAAGTGGCCGCAGTGAGAAGAGAGAGCATTATCGGATAAGCGCATATAAATTACTCCTTGTCGTGCGTCGGTGCTATGGTGGTCGGACTGTGAGCGCGCAGTCCGTATTAATAAGCAGCGAACGAGCCAAGAACGACGCTGGCAGTATGGCCAGGACAGCTAGCCCGCCTCTCAATTCGCCCATTTCCATTCATGGGGCGCAACACGGAAAGATTAATCTATTAGTGCTGGGGCGGGAAAAATGTACAGTCCGAGCGAGGCATCTCTTGCAAAATCGCAAATTCATAAAAATATGCGAAAAACCTTTCCGCGGAGTTGCACTTTAGTTATTCTTTGTCAGGCAGGACTTGGCTTTGTCGCGAATTAAAATAAAAACGTACGAGAGACGTTTGTACAAATGTCGCGCGGCTACTTTGTGCACTATAAGAAGAGCTCGAGTTTCGCATTCATTCGAGTGCATTCAAAGCGATGCAAATTCCAAAGCGCAAGCAGATACAAAATGCATGCATCTGTCATTTGGCAGAACATTGTTGGAACTCTCAAGACTTGTGGGACACACAGCAGACAATAGTGTGCGGATGATCGATCAAAAGAAACATAGAACGCAGTCTAGAGTTGTTGCAGTTGCTTCAATTTAATTGTTTTACAGAAGATTCAATTTCAAATATGCAAATTTAATTTTTAGTGGAATAATTATTCACATTTTATGATGTTTGTCAAATTTTGAAGACAAAAAATTTTTTAAAATTTTCTACAGGATTACAAAAGATGTTCTATTTGGCAAAATCAAGTAGAAAATCTTGAGCTGGTTGAAGATTTTTACGTAATTATAACTTCTTATTGAGAAGGGTGCAATTTACGCCCCAGTTGTATGCGCCTAGGCATTTAATAAAATAATCCTCTTTTTATAAGTTTATGCCTATTATCAACTCTTGTCGAATGTAAACCAAAATTCTAATTAAATTAATTGGAAGCCCTGTTTATAGTTTTCATTAAAATTTTTAATTAACTAATTTATCTCCCAACAAAATTTAATTTTGTTGATTTTTTTACAGTTGCCATTAAGCTTCTTACTTCACATCCCTCCTTTAATGTAGCCAGCTCATAAAACGCAAGAGAGCCTGGCGGGTTGCTGTCGGCGGTGGCCAGGGGCATCGCGTTGACCCGTGGCTGCAGCGCGTTTAATATGGCCGCAGCGTCTCTCGTCACAGCAGCGCGAGAGATGCACCAGCAAGTATATCTATGGACTCTGTGGTGATATTCCGCGCCGAGTGCAGCAGTAAAAATTCTTATGCAGGTCATTTCATGTATTTCGCACAAAGAAGCTGGCGCTGCAGACGAATGAATGCTAATGCAATGGGGTGCCGAGACGAAGAGAGATGTAAGTATACGCGAAATTTATTATCGCGTTCCTTTTTGCGATGGAGATGAATGGGTGACAAGAGGCCGACAGCCAGACGTGCACTCTATGCTACATTAATTTTTTTTTTGCCATTTCATATTTCACACATCGAGGTTAACTCTGAGCTAATTCATCATGCGCCGGTGCACTATACTTGCGAAATATTGAGTGGGAGGTTCTTGGAACATAACTCTATATTTTTCATTCCCATCAATATAATATGCAAATTCCCAGTATTAAATGTACAAAGTTAGCTACTTTTAGCTCTTGCATGGTGCATTTAATATTTTTATAAAGCTTGTGCCTGGTTTGTGCCGCAACTTGTTACTTTGTGGCGAAATTGAATAAGTTTTATATATTATGCGTTTTCATAGTTTTTTTCCTCTGCGGGAAAAAAAGCTCGCTGCAGTAATGACAGCTCGTCCCATCTCTCTTACTCGGAACGAGCGGCTCGGGGCGGAAAAACGACGGCCGGAATTTATGGCGGCGGTAATCGGTTTGCAATATTAAACTGGAGAGCAATCGTTTTCCTGCCGCGTGAGGCGCGCCACAGGAATTGAATTTCGCCGCCCACAAAAACGCGGCGCATTCGTTGCCCAAAAGAAACCCCAAATTGTGGGTATTGTATAGAAAGTGAAAAAATTCAATTTGAGATATTGAAGGATAATAAAATAAAAAAGCTTGAGAGAATATTTTTATATCAATAGTTTCTCTTCACAATTTGCGAATTTCAAAATATGATCACGTAAAATTTCTATTTTTGCTAAATGATTGCAGAAGTTGAAATTAATGATTATGCTTCTTGCGTCTTGGTTTTTTATATATTTATTTATATCAATCTTATGTAATATCAACTTAATTAATTTCTACAGTGTTACATAATTAATTCATTGGCTAGCATATTTGAAACAGAAATTGGTGAAAAAATGTCAACCTCCTTCGTGCAGATTCCATTTAAATGTGAGCAAATGTGAGTAATAAAAAAGTAATCAGCTTTGAAAGCTTCCAAAAGGGTATGCAATACGAGGGAACCATTACCATTTCTTTGCCAAAAATGCCTCTTTTGAACTTTTAGTTCCCATCTTTCCATCGCCCTCGGCAATATCTGCTTGATTATCATCATCGATGGCAGCAAAAAGACGCGAATCGCTGCACAGCCTCCTTTTTACACCGCGTTTATACACGCAAGCCAAATTTGAACCAAGTTGGCTTGCCGGAGTAATTAATCGAGCGTCATCCCCGTTACATTATATAGAAGTTCACGCAGCAGCAGGCAAAAAGTTTTGGAGCAACCAAAACTTCATCCTTTATTGCCGGCAACTTTATGCGTCCGCCCAATAAAAATGATTTTTTGCCTGACGAGAGAGAGAGAGAAAGACCGGAGCTTCATTGCGGTAAGAGATGCGTCGGGGGCATTTTTTATTTTATCGCGGCGACAAATTATTGCACAGAGAGCGACTGCTCGCCGAGCAATAACAATCGACTGGAGTCAGCAGAACTTTTAGAGGCCGTAATTGTGCCCAAAACACCACTTTCCTCATCGGTCGGGGACACGCGCAGCTAAACATCGGCATTTGCCAATCCAATAAATATTGGCGGCGCGCAAAAGCGAGCGACACCCGTCGCTTGTTTTGGGTCCAGCAGCGTCGCCGGCCCGGCATTGTTGCTAGACCCGGCAATTTTATGACCGCACGGTCACTCTTTATTCGATATATATGGGGCTTCGATTCTTTATTTCAACCGGCGGAACAGGCGAAAAGTCCGTCCGTCCGTCCGTCCGCACCCGCAAAAAGTAAAGTTTTCCGAGGGAAAGGCCACGCAGAAATTTTTTGCGCTCGTTTCGTTCAACGACTCGCGGAATGAAAATCGGTCGATCCGTCATCAGTTCCCTACATGTGACTTTTTCTCGTTACGACGACCTGAGAAAAGAATGAAGTCTGCAAAATGCCTGGCTGTTAACAAAAATGGCACCCAAAGCTTTTTTATTCGGCAAAGTTTTCTTGTTAACTGCGAAATTGCGCTGCGCAGTATAATTTTCTCGTATAGGGTCGCACACATCGATGCATGCACGGCGTGAGATCAATAGTGAGAGAAGGGTAACTTTTTGATGCATGTATTTCTGAATTGAAGGATTATTAAATATTAATATGAAAATGGCGAGATCAGCAGCTATAAGATTTTACAACAATATGCTGCATAGCTTGATTAGATTTATAATTGTCAAAAAACTCCCTAAATATGAATATTAACTTTAACCTAATTGAATTTACATTTCAAAGATTTGAATAACTCTTATCACATTAAATTTGTGTGCCTTAAACTCCAAGTATCTTATTGTTAGTAATCTAACAGGTCGTCAAATTTAAAATAAGTATAATAGATTATTTTTGCAAAATTATAAATTTTAATTGAAATCTTTTAGGTTAAAAAATTATACCTTTTAGAAAACAAATTTTTAATTATCTTAAATGTTTAAATTTGTAATTCATA